CCCTCGTTTTCTGTAAAACTGAACAATTTTCTGGTATCATGTACTAAAAACAAAGAGCAAAACAAATATCCATCGGATGGGGATGGGGATAAGGAATATCACGTCGCCAATGCATCGCACTCATGTCAATTTTCTATTTCAGGACGAAAATGCGAAAATAGAAGAGCTAGGTGATACAGAAATCATTTCAACAAGTCAACCGGTAAAATTATAAATAAATACTAAATAGTATATAACTTCTCAATCACATTCCCTCCCCTTCCCTTCCTGCATTTAACATTCCATAAGCCCTCCCCATTCCAACGCTCTCCGGTTCACATTGCCGGATTCTAATGTCCCCCCAAACACCGCAAACGTTGATTGAACAAAGCGGCCGCCTCATGGACGGACAGCCTCATGGACGGAGGCGACAGTAAAAGTCAGAAGGGTACCAAAGTAGAAAAAAAGAAAGAAAGAAGTTGAACGCCGACAAACGCCTATTATCTGCCCACCCCAAGAACCTTTCCCCTAAGTCCCGCCATCATCGCCAACGCTGAAACAAAAGTAGTCATGACTTCCAAATATCTCCCTCTAGTAGGGCCGGGCCGCTTTGAAAAATGCTTATAGAAGGTTTCAAAGAAAAGAAATACAGCACAGGGGAAAAGAGAAAAAGAAAAGAAGGAAAGGGAGAAAAGTGAACAAAGATCGAAGTTTCTTCCTTTAGAAAACAGTGACACAAAGAAAAAGAAGCAGGTAAGAAGGGGAGCAGGATTAAGTGGGCGATATTCGTTTCGATCGAGATTGAAAAATGGAAGAGAGAAAAAAAAAACGAAAAAGCAAAAACACAAAGCTTGGAACACGGGAAGGTGGAAGTAAGTGTTCCCCGTCCTCGTTAAACTGGAGGGATCGAAAGATGTAGCGAAGGTAGAAACCCGGTAGCGGTAAAAGGAGTCACCTGGGGAAAAGAGAAGAAAATCCCGCAAGCTACCTGATAGTCGCGTAAGAGTGGTATTTACTTTCCCTGCCATCATCCTTCAACCCCTTCTTATTAAATATCTTCCAGAACCGCAACGTCTCGTCCCCAGCGCCCGTAACGACAGTTTGCCCATCAGGACTCATAGCCAGGTATAGAACTCGGAAGGTATGGCCCGTCAAAGATACAACCTGTTCCATGCGCGGGTATTTCCAGACAACGATCTGGTTCTGGCTGTAACCATGGGTGCTGACGATTTCATCGGAGTTTTTCGACCAGGCGAGGTTGCACACTTGGCTTCCTGTGTCGACTTCTTTGATCTGATGACCAGTAAGCGTGTTCCAAAATTTTATTGTTCGATCTGCGGTACCACCGCCTGACGCTAATAGGGAATGTTGATGCGGAGACCATGCGATCGCTTTGACAGCTGCTATGTGGTCTGAAAATCGGAAAAGAGGTGTTTCGTTTAGTTTGTCCCAGACGATTAATTTATTGTCGTTCCCGCCAGATGCTAGTTGTCCATCCTCAGTATTCCATTTGAGTCCACAGATTTCTTGCTTGTGGCCTGTAAGTCGCCGTAGATATTGATCTGGAGATCGCACATCGCGGTGAAAGATGGTTCTATCCCTGGAGCCCGATGTGAGGATGTGGTCGTTCCAGGCAAGAGCACCCACTCGTAGTGTATGGCCTGTCATTGTTCGTAACCGTCGACAGTGTTCGGCATCCCAGATTTGTACCAATCCCTTCCCAGTTCCGATCGCAAGGTGGGTCCCCTTAAGAGCAATCTTGTCAGCTTTCCATAAGTTTTAGTAATACAGGACAATGAAATCATTTATTTACCCTTTGAATCCAACTGACACTCGTTACGGTGTCATCTTGCAGCTGGCATAACTTGGTAACATGACCATTCACCGAATCCCACATATAAACCGCCGACGCCAATCCCACACCCAGTATATTACTACTACCCCAATCCACTAGATTGAGGTAAAAATCGTCCGCTAGATCGGGCGCATCTAGAACTTTAAATGGCACTTTGTTCACATATCGCGGTTGCTTGCGCATGCTCTGCAGAATCCGCTGGCTATCGAATCGAATAGGGGACAAGCTATAGAGTTCAGATTGAACGTTGAGGTTTGGGCCATGCCCACTACGAGGCGTCCGAGAAGGTGTAGGGTTTCCAGAAACATGTCGAGGGGAGGCATAAGAAAAGAGGTTTTTGCTGGGAGTGGAGGGAGTTATGCTTGCGGGAGGTAAGGAGGAAGCGGCTTTGTATGAGGGTGGAGTTCGTGAGCGGGTAGGGTCATGGATTTTTGTTGAATACCCAGAAATCGGGTCAGGCGATAGCGAATGTAGATCGGGCTGTGGGACGGTATCTCCAAAGACTTCGCTCCGAAGCACTCTGGAGTATGTACGATTGGCTTCCTCAGCTAAAATGGGAGTATTTATTTAGTATCGCTCGAACACGAATAACGTATGCACAGCCGCACTTACTCTTTTGGAAATGTAGCTCTCCATGGGGCGTTCTCTTTTTCGCCTTTGAGGGGGTCGTAGGGCAGCCATCTTCATGAAGTAAGCTATAACTGGCTTGTAAATCCTGGCCTTCGCGGTTTGGGATGAACCTGCAAAATGCCAACAACTATTAGCCAGTCCAAACGGCGAACGAATATATCGAGCCTCCCGCACGGCAAAGAAGTCATCGTGCCGTATCATTCCATATCTTCTCTGATGCGTGGCTATCCCATCTACCCCCAAGAGAAGCAAAAAGAGAGCTTACCTATCTCCATAAACCCGTTGCCGCTTGCGACTCGGGCTCGTGCCTGGTGTTCTCTCCCGGGGCCGGCCCGCTTCTTCAAAATCCTTAAGCGCGCGAGCAAGAGCATCTGGATTTATTGGTTCTGAGTCTTGTCTATGTCGAAGTTTTGTTGAATCAAGTGAGGGATTGAAAATAGCGGCTCGAGGTTTTGTAGTAGTTGGCGGGGTATGGGACTTGGAGCCGGGTGGAGAAGCAAGTTTAGCAATTGCAGAGGAATCATTCTTAACCGCAAGGTGTGTGGCTATCATGCGTCCTTTCTCTCCCCCGGTTTCTGCCATTGTTGACGGATATCGAATAGTGGTTTGGTGGTTTGGTTGTCTGGCGCCGCTCTATTCAGCTCTGTGATCTGGGGTTGGGGGACGGATACTTTGGAGGAATTGGGAAAGACGTTCAGTAAGGGGCTTTGGAATAATCTACGGCCAAGGAAAACCGCTTATAAAGAGCAAAAATGACGATATATGGAACCGAATATAGGATAGATTGGCAATGTTGACATGAGCGGCTTTCTTCTTGTGTCCCGGTATTTGCTGGGCGACAAACTTCTGCAAAACAATCAATCCCAGCGACAGGGGAGGACGACAGGGGTAGGAAAGACAGGCGGAACAAGGACAGGAGGGTTATTTGTCGCTACCTGAGGATGTAACTCCGACTCCTGAAAGCACCAACATCCGTAACAGACTGAGAAGAGGCCGACAGATGGATAGTGAGTATGGCAGCGGGTGTGGGTGTGTATGGCCCAGCTCGGGACGTTTGATGTTGCTGCTCGAGCCGGTATGGCCAGAAAGGGAAGGAGCCCCCAGGCGCGACTTTTACGCGAAAACGCTACTCTGCTTCGGGACTAGCGCGCTGTCTATCATAACATTCCTCGATCTCTTGATGGGCTAATTCGCAGTATATTCCCCATTACCACATTGAAGAATATCTGTCACTAAGTACGAAGTTACTCCTAAAGTGTGTTCTTTCGCTTTTTGTGACCGCCTTGCGTCGTGGTTTTGTTCCACCTAAATCTAATCCTCTTCCACAAACAAACTGATTCTTCACATGAAAGGAAGGAAGTAACTATTCACCCTAAATGTCACCCATGTCAGAGTGAATCCACGGATTCACTCCTTTGTTTGTCTGTCTCGATTCTTGCCTTCAGTAGGCTTGTTGAAGAAGAGACTTCCAACTTTGGACTAGATGAGCCTCTAGAGCCATCTGAAGCCGTTTCCCCTCTATATCTCCTCCGTCCGCTGGATACAGATATGCGTACATGACTTCAGGGGGTTTCAAACGAACCGTCGAACCAAGTTTGTTTGCCAATATCTAGGTATACCATGTGACTGAGATATAACAGCAGCAGTGTCCGTGGGAAAAAAAGCTTCATTCACAAAGTAATCTGGGAGTCTCAGTCATGAAACAGACATGCAACAGATTAGCTATACAGAGTCTGGGATCTAGGGGCTTAACAATGAGGTTTGAAGTTCTCAAACAGGTAGTTTTACTTTCATTGAGCTTTACTTTCAAGTAGTTTTGGTTGAACAAAGAATAGCATCAATGCAAAGGCTAATGGATGATTGGCCTCGGGTGGTTTTCTCAACAAGTCCATTGTGTGCTTATCATTCAGGCTGAACCAGGCATCGTGGGACTGCGGGGATGCAAGGGTGGCTTTGCTAGCGCGTTGTTGATCCCAACCCCAGTTTGCCTCAAAACAAAACAATCGCGAAAAGTCGCGACTATTTCTAGAAAACGCCCGTAACCTTCCGACAACATCCTGGACGACCCACCATTCTTTTCTCCGCGCGGGGAAGAGCTAAGCAGCGCACCAAAGGCAAAATAACAAACCGTTTGAATGACGCGAGGTTTGCTAGGGACGATTGGATCTCAGATGAGGATTTCGCCCTGGAAGTCTAGCCGAATCTCTCGCTTCACTCCCCAGACAATATCATGGCCTTTGTATCACAACTTGATTAATAGGATCCCGTCACTAGGGATTTAAAATAGGTGCCTAGTTATTCACTCTGCCTGCTCACCTCCATCCTTCAAGTAACTTAGAACAACAGTAAAGAGGAAAATAAAACTAGCACAAGAGCAAATCGTGTCACTTCAAAGTAAAATAACACATTCAAGTGAGCTCTTGATTAGTTATATGATAAGTTATGCGATACGATACTGAGTGAATCCCGGCCCACGGGGACTACCCCGAGCAGGCTGGTCCGTGCATCGGGCCGAACATCCCAACCTAATTACAACGTCACCCCTCTTGCACTCCGCTTTTGACGGTGCGCTTTTCCTATTTCTTCGTATTACTCCACCCCAGCAGGAACAAAGGAAGGTTTGCGTCCTTCTGTCTACCAATTAAGCCCCACGAATGATCTCAAAACTCTGGGGAGAATCACTTAGCACAGCCCGCCATAGCATTCGTTCACTTGGTCGTGCATCTACTGCCCACCCCACCACTCACTTCGCCCACAACGCCCAGAGGGAGGCCTCACTTCACCCTCAATCTAACGCCCAGAAAACACTGAGCCAGTGGCATATCATCAGCCATTCTCGTAGACTCTCCTCCTCGTCGCTTTCATCTTCGTCTACTTCAGCTACAATGACAGAAATCAACTTCAAAGCTCAGGCTAATGACTTTTTGTCCTTCGTCAATGCTTCCCCAACACGTAAATCTCCCACTTCCCGCCCCTCCATCCCCCGACTTTATTAGTTTATTTTCAATTTACTTGAATACATAGCTAACTATACGAGTATGTATATATAGCATTTCATGCTGTCGCTTCAGCTGGTAAGCGTCTGATCAACGCTGGGTTTCGAGAAGTCAAGGTGAGTAAAATCTCAACTTCACAAGACGTACCCACAGACCATTCATGCTAACCATAATTTCCTTCGTATTTTTTAGGAGAGAGATTCATGGGCATCCATCTGCAAGCCGGGTGGGAAGTACTATGTGACTCGCAATGGTTCCACGATCATTGCCTTTGCAATTGGCAAAAAATGGAAAGTTAGTATTAATTCTCTATCTAATAATGGTCATATCATATACACTTTGCTAATCGGTTAAAATCTCTTCCTTGTGATCAGCCCGGAAATTCCATTTCAATGATTGGTGCTCATACCGACTCTCCATGCTTGAGGATAAAACCAGTCTCGAAGAAGTCTGGCGATGGCTTTGTCCAAGTCGGTGTGGAGACCTACGGTGGCGGTATTTGGCATACATGTATTTGTCTCCTTTACAACCTGGCATAATGTACTTATAGCTAAGAGTGAATTTAGGGTTTGATCGCGATTTGGGCATCGCGGGCAGGGCCATGGTGAGAAACGCCAACGGGACCATCGAGGCAAAATTAGTCCACATTGATCGACCAAGTATGATATATCCTCTCAACACCACTACATCAGGCCAAATATCTAACACTTGTTCCTAGTTCTGCGTATCCCGACACTAGCCATCCATCTGGATCGTCAGGAGACATTCTCCTTCAACAAAGAAACTCAACTATTCCCGATTGCTGGCCTAGTCGCTGCAGAATTAGCCAGGAGAGATGGAGATTCAAATTCTAAGGAGGATCTAGAAATCCGAACAAAAGGCAATGACAACGGAAACAACGCCGAGTCCAATACACCTTTTGCTCCGCTCAAATCAACTACGGATCGCCACCACCCTTACCTCGTCGAGTTAATCGCATCTGAACTCTCCGTCAACGCTCAAGACGTCGTCGACTTTGAGATGCTCCTCTACGATACCCAAAAGGCTTGTTTAGGCGGCCTTTTGGATGAATTCATTTTCTCAGCGCGCCTAGATAACCTTAACATGTCCTTCTGCGCCACAATGGGCTTACTAAATTCCCTGACAGATCCAAAATCTCTCGACAACGACTCTTCGATCCGTCTCATCGCCCTCTTCGACCACGAGGAAATCGGTAGCCGTACCGCACAGGGTGCAGACTCAAACGCCCTCCCCGCAATCTTGCGCCGCCTCTCCGTTCTCCCAGGATCATCAACATCATCAGTCGACATCTCAACAGCCTACGAGCAATCCCTCTCAACCTCCTTCCTTCTCTCCGCCGACATGGCCCACTCTGTAAACCCCAACTACGCCATCAAGTACGAGTCGGACCACAAGCCAGAGATGAACAAGGGCCCTGTAATTAAAATCAACGCGAATGCCCGTTACGCGACGAACTCGCCTGGTATCGTCCTTTTGCAGGAATGTGCGCGCCTAGCCGGCTCTGCGGGCAATGATACAGGTGCGGAGACCGCCTCGTCATTCCAGGGTGTTCCCTTGCAGCTATTTGTCGTCCGTAACGATTCGAGCTGCGGCAGCACGATTGGACCCATGCTCTCTGCTGCGCTGGGCGTGCGGACGCTGGATATGGGGAATGCGCAGTTGAGTATGCATAGTATTCGTGAAACGGGCGGGACGAATGATGTGGGTTATGCAATTAAGCTATTTGAGAGCTTTTTCCAAAATTACTCGGGGTTGGCGAGGACGATCTTGGTTGATTAGATGGTTTCGAGTGGGATGCTTTTGAGGAGTTGTTTTAGGGAGGTAGGGGCTTTGGGAAAGTTCCGCAGCGGTCGAGCTATTGACGACCATTCAAAGTGCAAGATAAAGAATGTTAGCTCGTTATTCGTTGTCGTTATTATACCTTCCCAGCAGCCTGTAAGCTCAAGTTTAGAATGAACGTGAGCATAAAAGCTTCAATATACAAATATTGTTGCTATGGTTGCACCACAGATTTTATGTTACCCTTAGAACCATTGCTTCGCCCATTTGCTCTGGATTCAATGCACAGGTGTTATCTATACTCAATGTAAACACAATATGCATACGCCTTCGTTCAGCGCTTGCAGCTTGGTACTAAATATCATTCTCCTACGCTCACGACGTCATGATCCACAGACCCTCAAGCAGACCCGATAATAAACGAGACACCTATTTCCTGTCTCCACTCCTTACGCAGAAATCGGGGAGGATATGAATCAGATTCCGGCACTGGTCAAGCAGAGCAGAGCCAATTGACATCCATGTGCTGCACAGAACACAGAACTGGGACAGTTTATATTTGAAAACAATTCATGATTGCTAATTGCGAAAACTAAATATATCAAAGCTGCAAGCTGTCAAACGTCCTCCAAAACTTGACAGGCTGTGAGGAGAAATACTTTGTAGAGGACACATCCCATTCCACATAACTTGAGTGAATCAAGTTTATGAAGCCAACATGGAGGAAATATCAGGCCTCTTAAAAAATAGATGTAATGCGCAGGTTGCAATAGAAGAAGATACAGCAACAACACTTGCATGGTGCAATATATTAGAGGAAAGACAAAATGGTGGGTAGGGCCATGTTTTATTTGGGGCAGTTAGTGAATGCAAATAGGGAGAGGAGTAAAACGGAAAGGGAGCCCCAAATCCGGGGAAAAAAAGAAAAGAAAAGAAAAGAAAAAGAAAGAAAGAAAGAAAGAAATTGGAAATCACACACGAAATAAGAGTCCAAGAACTCTTTGAAAAAAACTTGGCCACTCCTTTCTGTGGTCCTAGGAATTCATGGATGCAACGCACTTGACAAATCTCGTCCATACGAACGAGTTAGCAGTTCCGCGGAAGCACTTCATCTCACTAGCAGCCTGCTAAACGGGGGGGAATCAAATAGGTCGTGTTGAAAATAGAACCATGGTGCTTAGATTCAGATCAAACGTGCGCACACAAAGACCTCAAAACTGATAATGGGGACGAATGAGGGTAAAAAATAAAGAAATTGGAAATTGGAAAAAACAAGAAACCACATGAAACAAAGAGAAATTCAAATCTTATTCCATCAAATTTACTGCCATCTGTCCACGATAGTTTCAGTCCCATATTCCTCTGAAAAGATGAAATTATGGATAGACACTTGGTGGTTGCCTATATTTCCATCGCTATTGCGCAAGGACTCTCTCGCTTGACGGTTGAACTTTTGGGAATTTGTAAGTGAAACAAGAAGCAGTTTGGTTTGCGAGCTGTCTAGGGTGTCTGGGCAAAGCTTGGGATCTGGCGAGTCTTCCATTCAAGTAGGGGATGGGGAGTTTGAGGAGATATCATCTCGAAGAGGTCCTGTAAAAAATCCACGGCCCTCCCAAACGATGAATACAGAACAGGACATGGGATGCTATTATTATTCTCGTCCTAATTTCGAAATTAGAGCACTAACTCCCTTATTCCATTCCGGTTAACTGTCTTGTGTGACAAAGTCTTCACAAGACTCATCACCAGATTCAGCATCCTCTGTCGCGTTGAGAGTTTGGCTTAGAAGGGCTGGTCCATCTCTCTCCGCATCAGTTGGGGCTGGGTTAAGTGCTGTATTAACAATTAGGCGCGTATCCTTCGCCTCGCTCGCCATATGATCCATTGGCCTAGTGGATATTTCTGAGGAATTCATGGGCGAATATTTCGTTTGCGCTTCGTGAGATGTACTCGCGGCAGGAATTTCAACTGCTGATAGCAGTTCCAAAGAACTCGTTTCAGATGGCGACAGTATGGAAAATTCAGGTTGGGAGGATTCAGTGCGGTTTTCTTGCTGGATTGGGGCGGTCAGCTCATCAATCCGTTTATTCACAGTTTGAGAAATAGACGCAGGTTCTCCCTTAATGTTTGAACCACTTACACAGCTAATGCCACCCCTTTTCTTAATACCAATTTGTTCACATCCACCAGCCCAGACAATAGCCTTAGTCCAGAATTTTACTCGTTCCTCTTCTCCGGGTCCGTCGAACCAAGATGCAAAAATTGCAGGCTGGATAGTGAAATCTATCACTGAACCATCGAGGCTCTTGTCATCTTGTTTTAGTCGTAAGGCAGGGTGTGGTTCCATAGTTTCAGATGTGCGACTGAAAGTTTTACCCTGCAGAAGACCAGCATCGGAAGTGAGATATTTGACGTCGTAATTTTGCTGCCTGAGCCTCAATACCAAAGTCCCGGTAGTGGCCATAACGTGTACCAAGCTCCGAAGGCGATTGGCCACTGCTCCTTCAGTTAAAGGCTTAAGTAGAACAGCCGTCATATCGATAAAGCTTCGGGCAGATTTCTCGTAGAAAGTGGTCGTGCGACTGAGAATCCCATTATACTCAACAATACGGCTGTTGCCACCATGTCCTTGCAGTTTGGGTTCCAACGTACGCAAAGTCCACCCAATCCATGCATCTTTCTTGTCTAGATGTGGAAGTCTGTTTAGCGCAAATACGGACAATTGTTCACTGGGTGCAACTTACGTCTGGGTACACACTCCATTAGCTCGTTGAGAAATTGTCGAGACGGACATTTTTTCTGTTCCTGAAATTCTCGGTTCAGAAAGAATATTGGATTTTCCACTATAAACCAGCAGACAAAGTGCGCCAAAAACGTATTTAGAAAAATGAATTTCCCATAAGTAAATTTGCTGAGGGCTTTCAGGTTTCCAGAACATGTCGTGTGCATGAACAGACTCTCGTGTAAAGAACGCGGCATATCAGAGGGCAATGAATCGAAATCAACTGGCTCCTCCGGGGAATACTCTCGTGCCCAGTCACGGTAGAGATTCATGAGGTTCTGAAGTCGATTGCGGACATCACTATCGTCCATCTTCGGTAAATTGTGTTCTTCACGCAACTCCATCATCGAGGTTTGGAGTTCCATATTCTGGTCCTTCAAGGTATTGTTCTCTCGTTTGAGCCGGGAACATTTGGTATTCAGAGCTTTAATCGATTTCTTTGCTTGGTCAAGCTCACTCTGTAGCATAGCCTTTGTTTTGGGGTTGTAGTTGGATTTGTGTTTCTTGTTCGTACGACCATCTTGGAGATCGTTCTCAGATGGCCTCTTGAAACTGCTAGTGCTCGTTTGACCTTGCTCCCCTGATTCGAGACGTTCTGCTGGTCCACTCTGACTTTGATCGCCCTGCACAGATCCGGCGTCCTCAGAACACATGTTGAAATTGTTGTCGTAGAAGTGCGGCGGTAAGAGACCACAGGTTAATTTTTCAAGGCTCGAAGGTATATGGATACAACCGATGTCGAGAATGGAGAGTAACACATTGATATCTTGCTTTAGCTTGAAGGTGAATAACGAAACTGAAGTAGTTGCCACCAGGCAACAGGATGGAAGTCAATCGACACTGACGCCAAACAACAACACAAAAAGTGAGACAGAAATAATTTGCTAATGCTGAATAGTTTCGCATGACTGAGGGCAATTAAATGAAAAGAGGAGAAAGGAAAGATTGCTTCATTGTTTATGAATAATAATCCCTGAAATTAAATAAAATCTACTACTGAGTGGGTTCCTCAAAACGTGAGGCTAGCTGAGTGTCCAAATGGCCATGATGCCCTGCCTGGAAAAAAGCAATTTGTTAGCTAACTGAAGAACGAGGCAGATAAACGAGCGAAAGAGACCTAACTTACTCGATCAGGTAAATCATCGAGGAGCTCCTCGGACACGAATGGAAGCGGCATCGCTCAACTAAACCCTAGACTCTCAATCAACATCCAAACGCAAAGAACAGGTGGAACAGAAAAGATGCCTATTCTCCAATTTGGGCTTGACGGTAGTTGGCCAATATACAGAGGATCGAATATAATGCCGAGACTGATATGATTTCCAGACTCCCCAAAACCCGTCCAGACCCCGAAGTCGAAGCCAAGAGCTAGTAGCGGTATTCCAAATGGGGTGGTCAGAAAACGAGAGACAATCAAAAGTAAGTCAAGCCAAGCATGCCTCGAAGTAGGCTGATGGATTCCGCCATAGGGGAAGTAGAAGACGAGTCCGAGCTCGGTTCACCAGCAAAGAAAAGCAAAGATAGTACCGCAACTGCCCATCTAATCGTTGGCATTGATTTTGGTACCACATATTCAGGTATGGATATCGGAAGAAATAAATGATGACATTCTGATCCGATTGCAGGCGTTGCTGTTGCGCATTCCGAGTTTGATCGTGAGAAAATCTATATCATTTCAGCCTGGCCAGGGAATGTAGAGGTCAGATATAAGGTCCCCACGATGATCGACGACAAATCAGAAAACTCGAACTATAGGGGATGGGGTTATGCCCTATCATCCACAACGCACTGCTCATCATGGTTCAAGCTGCACATGGCTCCGGACAACACATTATCTAAAAATGATGACCCCCTTCTATCCCAGAGTGTGGGCCCTAGCTTATTGAGAATCCCGGACGGGGAAACTCCAGAGATTCTGTGCGAAGAATATCTTCGACGCCTTTATAAGCACGTCATGGGGAGGCTTAGCACGATATATGGGCAGTCAATTGTGGATATGCTACCAGTAAAGGCGGTATTGACAATCCCAGCGGACTGGGATAAGAAGTATAAAACAACCTTATGTGAAGCCGCACACCGTGCAGGCATTGCAACCGGAGAGAACGACTCAATCTTAACGATCGACGAACCGGAAGCCGCTGCTCTCGCTGCATTCGAAACCAGCCTGGGGAAGAAACACAGTTCAATTTTCAAGGTAGGATCAAGAGCCTGCATTCGCAACCTTATCAATTATAACTCCAAGCAGTCGGTTCGAAAGACGTTAATCATTGGCATTTTCGCCCTCCCAGGTAAACAACAATGTTGTGGTGGTTGATATCGGCGGGGGAACGATCGTAAGTGCATCGGCCTCAAGTTCTTACGGCAAAGTTGACAAGCAATCGTTAGGATATCATAACCTACAAAATTGTTCGGACAAATCCCCTCGAAGTAGGAGAGGCCTGTACAGGAACTAGTAAGTGCCCTCCGGGCGTGAGCATCTATGCCGTTATATCTGATAAGAAACAACATAGGCGCAAAGTGTGGGGCTACCATGATTGATCGCGAACTGCATCGACTCATGGGAATAAAATACGGATCTGCATTTTCCAACCTCCCTGCCAAAGAAATAGGTCATGGTAGCGAGTTTATGGCGGACATCGAAATAATCAAGAGGAGCTTCACAGGCCACGGCGACGAACACATAAAAGAGCACCTGATCCGTCTTGTTATGAACATTAACGATGCTGCCGGGTACGTCTACGAATTGGGACAAGTAAAAATCACTAGGTTCGTTCCATCTCGCATATCCTAACACGAATGTCTCAATTATTAAATCCATTATCCGCAGTGAGGAACTTGCGCAAATTTTTGACAAGGTCATAAGCCGCGCCTTCGATATGGTCTCCGAACAAATCGAAATGGCTCGAAAAAATAATGATAATCCCGTGAACGTAGGTGCTCCTAAAATGGTTGGTAAGAGTGCAATTTCATTGACAGGTGAACTTCTCAGTTAATAATACTTTGCGGCGGCATGGCCGACTCCCAATACGTTCAGGAGCAGTTTAAAGAATTCTGCCAGAACAAACTGGACAAGAAAGTCGATGTAATTGTACCAGACGAAGCTTGGCCGGCCATTGCAAAAGGAGCGGCACTCCACGCTTTGGGACAATCGATAGTGGAGAGCCGCAAAAGTAGATGGTCCTATGGCATCGGCGTGCATAGAGCTTTTGATTCCAAACGTGATAACGAGGAAGATCAATACAAATGTCCTAGCAGGGGAGAGCGAGTTAAAGGATATGTTGAATGGTTCATTAAACGGGTACCAATGAACTTCCCATACTGCAAGAATGATTGTCTCAGAATGAAAACTGGACACGCTAACGGATGCTGCAGGGCGAAAGCGTCAAAGACAAGGTGAAATGGATCCACGGGTACATCGTGATGCGAAAGGGTAGACAGCTGAGAGACACAGTTGGCGATTTGGTGTTGTACAAATCCAAGAGTCCAACCCCAGGGAATAAAATTGATGACCCAGGTGAGTGCCATTATCATATGAAAGTAAGTAAAAAACGGCTAACAAGCAGTTATCATGATAGATGTCGAAAAGTTGACGACCCTTAGCATTTGCATTCCGGCTCGGAACTCGCAGGCCGACAAAAGTGTGAGGGTCGGGCACATAATCTTGGTGAACGAGAAGATGGTGAAGTTCGAAGCCAAATGCGGAAACAAACAGATCGGGCTCAAACAGACTGATTATGAAGATGACAAAATATAAGCTAGATAGACATCTTACCCGCGCGCTGGAATCCAGTGGGAATAGATGGAGGGAGGAAAAAGGGGTTGGTTGTTGGTTGTCGTGATAAGATGCGGCGGGATCGAAGCTCGATTAGGGTTCGGAGAAAAGAAGATCCGGTTTGTTCTGGGGAAAGCGGCGGCGGCCGGGGGAAAGCAGTTGTTACAAGCTCTATAAAGCCAGCCAGGCGCATTTTCATCCACGCCAGTAGGGAAATGTAACTACCAGCTGCTCGAGCAAGGACGGGTTTCGTTTGGTGTGTTTTCTATTTTTTTTAAAAAAAAATATCCAGTTTTTTGTCCTTCAGAATAGGTAGTTAGTTACGAAGCAATAATCCGATTGCCTCAAGCTGAGATCGCTCCGCACTTCCTTGGAGTCCCCATGTCCCCTCTATGACCACTCCGGATGTCTTTCGAGATGCGCAGCACATCGCCGACGTCTCGAACATTCCCTACGACTCCCGCGACGATGACGGAAATCCCGCTCACCTTGGGGTGTCGGGGTGGTCTCAACGGAGGGCTATTTATGCAAGCTCGAAGGCGGTCATGCTCGAGAGGCTGCTGCGTGACCTGGATATGTTGATCTATTGCGAGTTGTCTGCCGTTTATTATATGGAGTAGGTTCTCTGCTTCTCGCCGATATGTCTCTGTAATATATATATATTCTGATACTGATGTGTTTTGGTTCACAAAATAGCTGCTCAATCCTCCATTTTACTATCCGCGCTATAGTCCAATTCATCTTCTTCACACCTAAAGCCGGGCCATTACCCGAAACATCAACGAACGCGCCTCCCATCGTAACTGTTTTCTTGAGCAATATAGCCTGCATGATCCTCCACTATGTATCATCTGCTCCTACGGCTGGCGAGGCGTCTCGAGGTTATCTACATGGCGGCCTATTCATCGACTTCATCGGACAAAAAGGTCCAATATCAAAATTCCGCCTATTCCTCTTCGACCTTCTAATTTTCGGGATGCAACTTATCATGATGTGCGTCATTCTAGAAAAGGACAGGACGAAACAGCTTGCGAGACCAACAGACGCGGCAAACCGTACTCCAAATCTACAAGACCATGATTCCGAAGAACGAGGTGTAGCACCTGAGGACACGCACTTGCCGGGCAGTGCAGACGATATCGAAATGCAGGACCTACCATCGCTCGAACGAGCTTCGGCTGAGGAGAGCAGGACTAGACTTCTTGAATTCGAAGATGAACGTGAAACTTCCGCTCTGGTTGGGGACAGGCATCCTCGTGACGCTTTTATATCGGCCCAGGCGGTCATCGCGGATATAAACATCTTTCAGGCCCTTCGAGATCAGTGGAATAGAGCCCCACAAACGAATGCCAGTCGGTCGACTGATTCTCAACCAACAATATCGACTCAGAATGGCATGGTGGTGCCCTTCCTGCAGCGACGCTTTCGATTCCAGTTGCGCACCGTTTCATGAGAGCAAATATCCCACGGCGGCACATGTAAAGGTCATTGATTTTTCATGAGACATTTTACGGTGTTGGGTTGCCGGTTGGACATACTCATCCTTTTATTTCCCTTTATTACTAACGAAGCGTACTTTTGAACCTTTCTCTATTCATAATTCTGTACCATGTATATATCGCTAACGACATTAATCCTTTTCGTCTATATCATATTGTACATTTACTGCACATGCACATCGTGAATTGTGCCCGTCACGTTACCATCTACTGTCAGGAACAGAAAACAACATGGAACGAAATATGGAAGACTGGTATAAGAATTCGGGCAGGGATCTAAGGTCGCAAACACGAAACACACAAATACCATCTATCAAACAAATAGCACAAACAAGCCTAAACGTAACATAACCCAGAACATATTCATACAACACAAGCAGACACAGACGAAATCAGAAACAAAATACTACGAACTCCCCCCTTCGTTACCACCACCACTCTTCCCCCCATCCTCCGTCTTGGGCTTTATCCTCCGATCCAAAATCTCATCTACAATCCCCATCTCCAACGCCTCCCGCGCCCCCATGAAGTAATCCCTCTCCATCCACTTCTCAATTTCATCCAGCGACATCTCCTTGGTCAAATGCAACTTATAGATCTCGTTGAGTTGGCGGCGGACGCGGAGGATCTCTTTGGCATGGATGGCGATGTCCGTTGCTTGCCCAAAGTAGCCGCCGGAGGGCTGGTGGACCATTACGGAGGAGTGGGGGAGGCAGTATCGTTTGCCCGGGTGGCCGCCGCAAAGGAGTAGGGAGCCCATGGAGGCTGCTTGACCGACGCAAATGGTGCTGACGGGGGCGGAAATGTAGGTCATTGTGTCGTAGACGGCGAGGCCTGTATGGGAAGAAAGGGATTAAAATTGCCAGGTTAACAAGGGATATATACGTAATAATTCATTGGCTGTGCGCCGCACCTGCTGTTACTGATCCTCCCGGTGAGTTTATGTAGAGATGGATTGGCTTCTCCGGGTTATCAGCTTCGAGAAAGAGAAGCTGGGCAACGATGGATGCGGAGAGGGTTTCGTCGACTTCGCCATTGAGGCAGACTATGCGCTCCTATAAATATCATTAGCAGTCTGCAAGGCTCTCTCGTAATAATTGAGTGAGCTGGGGTGTTATGTCATACCTTAAGTAACCGGGAGAAGATATCATCTTTCGTACAGATATGTTGTCAGCGCTTTTTGCTTTGAGAAAAAGGTGATAAATTCGTCACACGCGCTCAATGCGTACATGTATGCCAGCCACCTCCCTGATCAGTTAGCCTCTAGGGTCTTATTCCGCAGTCCAAAAATATAGAACTTACCACAGTCTCAGTCACGAAAGGAGTGGGTGTCCATCCCCGCGGCGGAGTTAGACTCGGCCGATTCGAGTAGTTTCTAGTCGTCGCGAGGGATAATTGCCGGGCTGCTGGTCTGAGCCATCTAAAGGAATTCATTTTGGGCCTTGATACTTAAAGCCTAAATGAGGTAGAGGAGTCAGATATAACAAGAATGGCAGGGGTCGTCGAAAGGGAGTGTGAGGTTGCAAGTTTGAACTCTTCAATGATTATCAGTCTCAGGCTTCGATGCCAAGCCTAAATATTTATTTACTCCATGTGCAAAACCTCAATCGCGGCTAAATATTTAAGTAAAAAATATCTTAATGCACATGAGCCTCTGTGTGCAAAGACATTGCAGAGCTAAGCTCAAAACAGAAGACCCTGCAAGATTGATTTTACAGCTTATTATTAATAATAATAGAAGAGATAGAACTGTAAAAATATATAGAGATTCATTTTTCAGTGCAAAAGCATCAGCTAACTAAGTAAGAAAAAAAATAAAAAACATCTCACTCTGTCTTATCAGCTTATATATCATTCTTAAGAACAGTTTGAGTAATCTGAAGAAGACTTATAATAGTTCTGAATTTAGTCTTTAAAACTGTATTCTTCTTACACAGAGTCTCATTTTCAATATAAAGAGTTAAAATCTTAATATTATAATTATTAACTGACTTAATACTTACTGTTTATTTTTTTAAGACTCTAGTCTCTATATTCTCAGCTGCAGAGTATTTCTTAAATAAACTTTTCTTCTTAACTTTCTTTCTTTTTTTATTCTTTTATTTCTTTTCTTTCACTTTATCATTCTTCTTACTAACATTGACTATATATAACTATTAATTAATTGTATTGAAATTAATATATTTTATATTAAAAAGTAACTCACTTCTATAATAAGAGTAGTAACTTTCAGTGTTATTATAATAATAACTGATACAAGCTTTATAACACTGATTTAGAGTGTTGATATAGATGATAAAAAAGTCTTCTTCTCTAATATAGTAACTGTAGAAAACTGTAAAAACAGTACTATAGAATTATAGAAGAAGAGCTTTATAATTTATATTAATTTTTATATTAATCTGATAACTCTTCTGTAAGACTGACTTATAAGTATAGAATAATTTAATAAGAGTCTATAACTTCTTTAACAGCTTCTCAGACATTCTTTCAGTTAAATAAGTTAATAATTAACTTAATAATCTAGAACTGATAGATGCAGCAGAGACAGACATAGATATAAATATAGAACTGAGAATAAAATTAATAACTGATAACTTAATAAATTAAATAAGATTATTAAGAACTGTACTGACTGTTAAAATTATAATTTTTATCATTTTAAGAATCTTACTTATAATAAATATATTTCAAGATATTATTTTCAGTTATAATAACAGTATTAATGATTTTTTAAACTTTTAATGAATTAATAGAAGTAAATAATATAATTTCTGAAAAAAAAAAAACAGCTGACAGAGATGAAAGATAAGAGATAAGATAAATTCTTTAAAGAGAAAGAAAATACTCTGAGATTCATTCACTTCTTCTTATATATATATTAATAACTATAAGAATTCAATATTTCTTATTATATAATGTAATACAGGTCTTAATAACACAGATCTCAGAAAATTCTTAATCTCTTAGATTAAAGATATTATTATATTAAATTTAAACTATATAAATTAATATCTGAATTGTTTCAATATCTTCTGTAGACTGTTAACTACTCATTCTCAGATTCAGTGATTATAATAGAATCAGCTATAATAGATTTATTAAATTCAATAATTAAATTCAGTGAATCTACAAGTAGAACAGATAAAGAGAATAATAGAATAGAGAGTAAAGAACTTACAGTAATAAAGAATAAGTAAATAAGTAGATTAAATATAAACTGTGAAAAAGATGAAATAAAGAGCAGATAAAGTTATATAAAATATAGATTAATAGAGATCTATAAAAAGAAAAGAAATATAACTTAGTTATCTATTAACTTTAATATCTTATATAATCAATTTTATACATCTGTATACTTCTACTTACTTCATCATCAGATCAGTGAAATCTGAAATAATTAAAGAGTTATTTAAATAGAAGATCTTGATATATTTTAACCTGTGAAATCATAATATATATAAGATTAGTCTGAAATTCAGTCTCAGAAATATCAAGAATAGTCTGATCAAGTGATAATTCTTGAGATTTATAAACAGTAATAATATATACAACTGTAATAGAGAACTGTGTACAGCTGCAGACTTGATTAATATAAGAA